TTTTCTGTTTTGATGATTGATGTTATTTTTCTCTCATGTTTGGTACACTGGAAAATTTTAGAGTTTTTTTTTAATATTGTATTTATTATCATTGCAACTCTGATATACTCATGAGAAAACAGCCTGTAAAGCTTCTTCGGTTAATTTAGCTTTTGCTGAAACTTTTTTTCTTTACTTTTCATGAATTCAAGAGCTTTACAGTTGGTATTGAAAATTCATCTGTTTCCAGATTCTGTATCGACTCCATCTTTTTGATTTCGAGTAATTATTAGTAAAACTGGGAATGAATTGTGTAGTTTTTAAATCGAGAATGTTGAAAGTTTGATTGATTTTTAAGCACTTTTGTTTGTTTGTTTGGATTATGAGTGAATTGAATTTGTTGTTATTGTTGTAGGTTGGATGTGGGTTTTACATAAAGAACAAAACAGATTGGCTAAGAACGCTTCTGGAAAGTGACTTCTTTGGCCCTTGTTTTGATCACCAAAACCTGAGAAAAAAATGAGAAAAATGTGTTCTGCATCCCTTGTGGTATTGGGTTTTGCAGACATTGCAAGTCTCATATTCACCATCCCTCGCTTCAGATCTACAAACACGTCTATCAAGACGTTGTTCGTTTTCACGGAATCCAGAAACTCCTCGATTGTTCCAAAATTCAGGTTTTAATTCCCATATCTTAGCTTCTCTTTTAATACCTCAAACTTGCTTTTGTAGCTATGGTACTCGGACTTATGTATGTGATCAACATTAGTATTGCTGGATTTTTATGTGTTTTGAGGATACTTATTTGCAATTCCTTTGCCCCAGTGTGTGAAAAATTGGAACAAATCTATATGTGCATATCCTTGTATCCATATATGTATGTGTATTCGACACTTATTTCAACTCCGGTGAAATGATCGTAGTTTTGTTTACTGAAATGGGTTTGAATTATTTGACAGACGTACAAAATCAATGGTGAAAAGGCTGTACATTTGAATCCTCGGCCTCAAGCCAAAGATGCAAAACCATCGACAAAATTGAAAACCGGTGCTGCTTGTGAAGTTTGTGGAAGATACCTTCAAGACCAGCCTAATCGCTTTTGTTCCATTGCATGCAAGGTAAACTCGTGTTCCGGTGCTTCATTGTTCTCGAATCAACCATGTCGTCTTCGACTTGATTCCGATGCATAACGTAGCAAAGTAATAGCACATGACCCTTCAAGCACATCTGAAATCTTAGAAAAGTTAAAATACATATGGTAAAATATATCTGAATTTGAGTAACGAAGAAGTAACAAATGATTAACAACTTGACTACAGTATGCTGAATATTTCAGGTATCTGATGTTGATTTGAAGCCTAAAGACCAAAGTGATAAACTGGAATTTCCAGTACAAGAATTCCCTGATCATCTTTCCTGGAAAGACAATCAAAATTCGGAAGAAAAGCAATCCACGATCTCATCGACCGATGTCTCGGAGGAGACAAAAATGTGGGTAAGCACGAGTTTAAAGCCTAGGAAAGGAACAAACAAAAGGAAAGGTATTCCCCATAGATCTCCTCTCAGTTGATATTATTGGGAAAAAAAATTTGGTAGATATTCAAGCAAAAATGGGTACTTAAAAACAATGGAATTCCATTGAAAGTTGTACAATTTCATTACAGAAATTGAAAATTTTATTTTAATTTTAGTTCTTATTGAGATTGTATAGTATAAAATATAAAAAGTCTCAAATTGAATTTAGATTGGCAAGCATTAATTTTTAATCTTTGTATCTACCACCTCGGACAGGATTTGATTGAGAGATTTATTATGATGTTTTTCTTTTGCTGGGATGTTGTTTTCATATATATATTTATATACTCACATTATAATAATCTGATATTTAAAAAATATTATCAATTTGACCTCTTAATTATATGGCTGTTTAATATGTCATCCATTACAAATGGATCAAAAGATGAGATGGTTTTTCATGTGAGATAAATTAAGAAACTATAGTTTATTTTTAGTGATTTTTTTAATTTTTTTAATTTTTTTTTCAAATGTGTTACGTATCAAATATTTGTTGATTAATCCATCCTAGTCTCACTCAAATGTTACGATAATAAATAATATATTAGGCATTCAAATAATTGATAATATATTTTTAAAATATATATAATTTAATGATGAAACGACTCTGTATTATTTAATTTAATTTATATTTATATTTTTAGTGTAATATCTGGTGATAGATCAACCGTTTTTTTTAATCGAATCATAAAAGATAGAGACCAATATTATGTAGTTGTACAATAAATGGGACCAGAAATGTCTCTATCAAATAGAATCTGAATTATAGAAGGGGACTCGATAAACGTCGTCATTAGAAAGAGAAGTGAATCGGAAAGTCTAACTAAATTATTAGTAAGTAGGGCAGTTGCTTTCTCGCAGAATCTATTTGAATTTCGTCATCCATCTTCCATTACAAAATTTATTTATTAGTAAGTAGTGCAGGAACTGCCATCATACAAGGAGAGAACAAGGATCATCAATGACTTTGCGCAGCTGCATCTCGATGAAACTTCACCGGTTTCTGTCGATGATGTTCAGAATGCAATGTTGTAATCCAGCTTGCCGATGTGGTGGAGGAAAGAGTGGTAATGAAAAATGATGTTGAGATTCCTTTCTTTGCCACTGGTTGCTACCTCACGTACTGTACCGATCAGTCCAACCTCTGTTTGGCAAACATTATCAATGAACCCTCAATGTAATGGAAATCAATGATAAATATGAGCAAAGCAACAAAAAAAGAGTAGCTATAGGGATTTTGCTTATAAAATTATACGCATTAAATAATTGTTTTAATAATACATATATATATATATATATATATTCATTCAATGTACTGAAAATGGTAAATAAATTTATCAATATAGTATAAGATTATTGGTATATAAATAGTAGATCAGTTACTAATTTAAAAAGAGCCTAAAGAGACTTGAAGAAACAATTGTTAACTAATTTTATTTTTCTTTCAATGGTTAAAGCAAACGGATATGCAGAGAAATTATACAAGATTTACGTGATAGCTATTTTCTCAAAAAACTTACTTTATATACTAAAAAGACTAGCTTATACTCCATGAACCTGTTGAACGGCTGATTTTCTTGGATTCTGGTAGCCAATACAAAGGCAGGCTATTCCAACGATTTGAAGACTTTTGGTGTGTTTTTTCTTTTCATTGTTAACCGACGGGGACGGACAGGGTGGTATCTGCACTTTTGGTTTTCTCTCTCGCCTGCTTCCACGGATGCCTTTGCGTGGGCCTATGGAATTTTGATGGAATTACCTCTACCATTCACAATGGCTTAGATCAATGTGCTCCATTCTCCTCCTTCCGATGGCCTTTCATCAATATTACTGTCTCTGATGACTCTATTCTATGCCGAATGCTCTGTTATCATCTAGTTTGCCTCCGGTATCGTTGTCTGGTCCCGATCCAAGGCAAGGCTTTGGTGATATTGGCTGGTCAATATCCGGCCTATGGATTACAGTGCCTGGGGCCTGGGCTCTGGTGGACGGCGTGTGAGTTATCTGGGTCTCTGCCAGGTTGTTAGCCACCTATGGAATCTATCAAATCCCACCTACTTTCTGAAGACTCCTTATTGGGTATTTGATCTTGACACGATATTTGGGCCATTATTTACGTGCATGGATTTTTGCTAACCATGCTACTGTTTCTCTATATACACGTGGCCTCCATTCCCAGGCATGTTTTATACTTTATCTTTGCACGTTCTTTTTGTTGGGCTGTATGGCATATATTTAGGTGCATATATCCCATGCAGTTACAGGGTTTTCTCTATCTATTTGATAGTGGATTCCGAATATATATATCTTCAAGTCTTATCTATTCTATTCCTTTTTCTGCTATATCCCACAGGCTACAGTATATCTATTCGAATTGCGGAGGAGTGACAAAGGCAGACGGAAAGGCTGACATTTACCGAAGAAGAAACCATTTTTCATAAATATGACTCTAGATTTTTCATAAATTTAATGACATATTTTGATCCATTATATATTTAATATTATTCTCAAGATATAATTTTAGGTAATATAACATTATATTCGTTTTTGCAAAATATATTAATTTGAAAAGTCGAACAAATTTTATATACTAAAAAATTAAAAATAAAGAGAATGGTATATTCAAATCCTTGAATACATTAAGTATAATATAAAAAATAGGTAAATATATTTGTTAATTGGAAATGAAGAGGGCTTCATGGCCCAATGGATAAAGCGCTCGTCTACGGAACCAGCGATTACAAGTTCGATTGCCAGTGAAGTCGTTTGTAATTTTGCTGTCTGATTTTTCCGTTTGGACCAAGAAACAAGCATCAGCCTATAATGCAAACTTAAGATTTTTTTTAAATCTTTATATTTTGGTCATCCATCATTAAAGTTATTAACAGTAATATTTATGTCATCATGAAATAATGTCACATCATTATTAAAACATAAAATAACAATAAATTAACAGTTATATTTATTTTTAATGATATGTGACCAAAATAAAATTAAAACATAATATTAATGAATGATTTTGAAAAATAATAGTTACGTGATCAAACATCATTAAAAATATATATATTTATCTTAAATTATTTTATTATTATTATTATTCTAAAATGATTATAAATAATATTTGTTCAAAAATTCTCAATTAATCAATAATGAACAGTCAAACACAACTGCAAGCATCATGCTCAAATTCAAAACCTCTAGAAATAACAATAATCATTTGTTTAACCACTAGGGTTATTTGATTCATGTATATAACATTCTTTTCAACTCTTTTGTTATTATTTTTTATCTTTTTACATAATACTTAAATTACTTATTATTTTAAATGTTAAAAAAGTATATATATATATATATATAAATCCTTAGACAGAGTATATAGGATCCTATTGAATTTACATTTTTTTAATATCTTTCAATAGTTTTTTAAATTAAATTTGAGTAATTCGTGAGTAAATATTTTTCATGTATATTTCCCTCAAGAGTAAACATTAATGCACATATAAATATAGTCTCAGAAGTGAAAACATGAAGCACCAGAACACAAAACCCTAGTTGTTTAGGCCACAAAAAGACTCAAAATTTGGTTCAACTCACCAAAAGATTATCAATATTTGTATTTGAAATACCAAAATTGACTAGACTCAAGTGAATTCAAATCCAATTGCTTGGATGAATTTACCACCGGCAAGATCATAAGAGCAACTCGGCAATCTGAACGGCGTTGAGTGCAGCTCCCTTGCGTACTTGGTCACCACAAACAAAGATGTCCAACCTATTATAAAATTTTGTACTTGTGTTTAAGAATGAGCTAACAGTGAAAGTTCTTTCTTTTAAATGTAGGAAAATGAGAAATGTTACCCATGATTGCCTTCTTGAGAAACATCTTGGCGTATCCGGCCGACTGCAACATCATCTTTGTTTGATACCTCCAATGGGGTAGGGAAGTGATTAGAAGCCCGATCATCAATAACTACTACCCCCGGAGCAGTTTTCAAAATTTCTCTCGCTGTGTCCTGATCAATTACCAAATAAAGAGTAGAGATAAAACCGTGGGTATATTTATCATCAAGTTATATCAACATAGAATCTCAATAAGTATAAGCTCGCATGGATAACTTAACGCGGATATTCCAGATAGTTCGAGGTCCAAGTTTACTACTTGTACATTTTCTTGTTGAAACCAATATGATGCAATAACATAAATAATAGTTTTCCCCAAGAATGTGGCTTGAAAGTATGATTATAAGATGTTTCTACAATTTCTAATTTTTTCTTGTTCTAAATCGTAAAAGTCGAATAAAAACAACAATAAATGTAAATTCTTTCCAAATAATTAAAAAGCTGAAAGAAAAAAGTTGCTAAAAACTCATAAATACAAGTAAAATGTAAGAAACCCTAAATCTCATTGCCTAAAAACAATTAAAAAAGTGCTTCAAAACTTGAAAGATGATGTAATGCATATTAAAAGCATATGACTAGCTATAATGACAAGTGAAATGTCAGGCTTTTTATATTACTATCATTTTACTGATGATAGAATTGTAAATCTACAATTTATTAAAATATTACCTCATCGAGGGGCTTCTCAAACTGAAGATTCATACTCTCAGCATGTGCTCGCATCACAGGTACTCGGATACATGTGGCAGTGACTTTAACATTCATGTCATTCTGAGACAGAAAGGAAAGGACAATCATGCAAATCGGAACATGCTTCTCTTTTATGACTTTCCTTCACAAGTGAAAATCCAAAGGTAAAGGGTGTATTTGTATGATTTTATACATACAGAACACTAATTACTTACCCAGATTTTCCTCGTCTCATTTACCATTTTCATTTCTTCTTCGTTATACCCATTCTCAAGAACTGGGGCATTATGTGAGAACAAATTAAAAGCATACTGCGTAAATAAAAGAAACAAGAGAAAGTTAAGATGTGTTGCTAGACGAAAAGATATTCTCAAATTTACGGATAACGTAATACACATACATACTTGTTGCTTAAAGATATTACAAGTTGGCGGTTTCCCTTCCAAGACCTAAAATAATGCAGAAATGAATCAATTTATAACAAAAAATAGTAAAACTCTGATATAAAAAGGGGGGAAAAAAGAAGGAAAAAGGAAACTGAATCAAATAACCTCACGGGTTTGCAGCTCAAGCTCATGCATAGCACCAGCACCAGCACCACTAGCTGCCTGATATGTACTGACCACCATACGAGTCACCTGCAACATGTCATGAATAGAATCAATAATTGAACCAACGTTTAGGTTGCTTGATGAGGGCAGTGAAACTGGCAAAAGCTCCAAACACTATCATACAAATTTGAAACATATAGGTTTCATTCTCAATATCTCATAAAAATTTCACACTATAAAATACAAACAACACTATCATACTAATTGAAGCTCTCATTATTCATTTCTTATCTTGTATCATTTCCAAACAATAACTTATTCATCTTACTTCAAGCTCACTATGTCTTCGGTTTCTTCGTAAAATTTGGAAACAGTTCCTTAATTCATGATTCTATATTACTTTTGTTTTGTATTCTAAGATTTTATGATAAAGTTTGCCACCAAAATATACATTTCAATCTACGTTACTCCAACTCAAAGAGTCGGACTGAGCATGCATCAAAATTTTGTTGTTCTATATAGTTGGAGGGTGGTATTCCCATTTTCATTCTCATGTATCAGAAATGGTGTAAAAACTCTATTTCTTAGTAAAATTTGCAAACATTCCCTTCATTTTTAAGAGTATGTTGCTCAGAATCTGCAAACTGTTTATAAGTTATAACCGAAACATTAAATCATCATCAATAAAATCCAAACAAAAACCCAGAAGGCAGCCTCAAACAAACAATGCAAAGCTAAATTCTACAATAAATCTACCAATAAAACGCTTAAATATTTTGAAGTCAATAACACAAAGAAGGGAACTTTTTATCCTACACCTTAGCATGGCGATGAAGAGGAGTAGCAGCCATTAAGCAGATAATGGTAGAACAGTTGGGGTTTGCAATCAAAGCACCTTTTTTCTTACCAACTTTAATCCCATCCATTGCTTCCGGATTCACTTCCGGGATAACTAAAGGCACTCCATCAACCATTCGAAACGCCGAGCTATTATCCACCACGATGGCGCCTTTATCCACCGCAATGGGACCGAACTGTTTACTTATAGACCCACCGGCACTAAAAAGAGCGATGTCAACATCGTCGAAGCTGTCGGCGGTTAGTTCCTGGACGGTAAAGGTGCGGTCTTGGAAGGAAACGGACTTACCAGCGGAGCGTTTGGAGGCGAGGAGCTTGAGGGAACGGTAAGGGAAGTCGCGGTCGGAGAGTACGGAAAGGAATTCTTGGCCAACAGCGCCAGTGACGCCTACGACGGCGATGGATGGGCCAGACTCTTGGAGAGACATGCGAACCTTGGCGGGGTATTTTCGGGTTTGGAGTTTGGGTTTTGAGGTTGAAAGAAGATGGGCTTTGAGAGTGTAGCTGAGAGAAGCCATTTTTGAGTTAGAAGCGTTGTGAGATACTGAGATGGCAAGGAGTCGTAGACAAGGCGATGAAGAACGGGATGGCGGCGGCGGGTGGATTGATTGTGTCTACACAGACCAGGTCCTTTAAACTTTGATTTGGTGTGACCTCTGAGTTGTTTACGGTGAAATTAAATATTTAATCAATCATCTATTCTCACAATTCAATAACATTAACATTCCAGCTCAAATTACAATACTCAATTAACATTTATCTATTAACATTATTTCGAAATTTATTTATAAATCATATTTATTTATTTCAAAACATATAATTCTAGAAATATTTTAATCATTTTGAACCTTTACAAGTTACAGACCTTTTTAAATTTTATAGAGCCATCACAAGTTCAAATAAATTATTATTCAAATTTAAAGCTTTTATAACTGTCGATGTCAATGCTTTTCCCATGGAATTTTTTTTAATGAACTCTCCTCACCACGTAAGTTGTAGACTCAACAAATTAAATTAAAACATGATCATCATTAAACTTAAACTTATTTTTAATTATTTTGTTTTTTCCATATTAGAATTATATTTCCATCTCTTGTTCAACCTCTTAATCTCCTCTCCCCCCTCTTCGTTAACCATAATCATCATCGTCGGCATAATCTCTTCATTAAATCTCAAATCTTATTCTGTGTTTTCTTCTTAAATGCATCTTTGATTAAGCTAAAATATCTAGTCTGAAACTATCTTTAATTTTTTTCTTTTATGTCTTTGATAACCAACTGTCGCGGACATCGCTGCCAGTACTACAACAACAATAACCCCAAAACTGTTCTTCATAGACGTAAAATGTATTAAATACAACATTATTTAAGTTGCAAGCATGGAAAATAAGGAACGAAAGAAAGTGATAGTGACTATGGTGATTGTGGTTAACAAAAGGATAGGAAGGTATAGTTAAAATATTGAAGAAAGATAGAGATTTAATGCTAATATGAAAATAAATAATTAATTAAAAAGGCTTAATACAAAAATAAGTGTCTAAAACTTTACATCAAAAAAATTTAATATCTAAAGAAATTTTCGCTAAAAATAAACGCTTGATGTTTTCATCAAAAAAATTTAAGTGTCTGGACCATAACGACCATTAAATTTGACCGTCATGTGACATATGTTTTGGTAATTTTAAGATTTTATTTAAAAAAATATTTTATTAAAAAAAACAGCCCACGTGACCATTCAGCACCTCCTTCTCCCCTTCCATAGTCACCGACCGGCCAGCCGCGACCGTCACTGCCGTAAGAAAGATTTTAACAACTTAATGATCAATAATAAAACTGTATTAAAAAGGACGCACACAAAAAAAAAAATAACATTAATAACAACTTAACCGTAAAAAAGATTTGACAACCAAAATATAAAAAAAGCGACAATATTTGATGACCATTTACCCCTGTTATAAACTGTATTAAAAAGGAAGCACATAAAATAAAACAAAACCCAAACACATACAATAAATCAAGACAATCCAGAAGATTTCCCCGCGAAAAAAAGAAATTTGGCCCATATGCCTCCACCACAATGTTATCTACAACCACGGACCATCCATCCATCCAATTTATTCCTTATTCTCCAAGTTTAGAGATTAAAGAAAGAATTCAGGCAATCATCCCACCATTGCTAGCACAACCAAAAGCTTCCAAACGGTTACCACTCAATAATAGATATAGTTTTAAATGTTAATACAATACACATTTCAGCAATCACATCTGCAGATTCAAACAAGATAGAAGGTTCTTGTTATGTGCTTATATCGAACAACTCGAAACCATAGGAGAGGATGCAAAAACCTACAAATTTGAAGCACAAACCTTGTTTGTTTCACTTAACTTCGCTGAGCAAAACAAAGAGCTCGTCATCTGTAATTGCTCCCTTTTCCATAGCCCTTTCCAGAGCACTTAATCCACCACCATCTTTAATCGTCGACAATGCGCCTCTGTGTAGTATTGGAAAATTAAAACAGCTTAACCAAGAGCGATAAATAAATAAATAAATAAAAACATTATATTAATGATGATATATTAATCATATGAAACAGGGTTATCCAATAATGTGGTATGTGAGTAAAGCATCCATCTCCAGAATAGGGTGCGCCAACATGAAATTTCAATTGAAGTTAATCCAGGCAATTAAGCCACAATACTTCTAACAGCTCTGCCACAAATAGCTTCTCCATTACTCTACAATTCTCTAATCAAACTAGAACAGATTCGGTGGGATTTGAACATTTGGTCACATTTGATGCGGGATGCAGCATGCATACACCCGCACCACTGACAGATCTCTCTACCAAAGACATCTCATGCATGTGGCACGCACCATTTTGCCATATGGTGTTATAGTGCTCCCAAGTCCACGTGATACTATATCTCCAAAGGGGCTCTAACACCATTCATATGGTGAAGGTGTATCAACGCCCAACATTTTATGTAAATAAACTAGAGTGGCCTGAGGATATATAAAAGGGTGATTAACTCCCAAATAGGCCAGTATTTGTGGTCGAAACCCAAGCTTGTAATGAGAGTTATCAAAACCACTGTGGAGGTACCCAGATAACCGTTTTGCAGATTGGCCTGAAGAGCTGTCTGCAGGTGTATACTAAATCCCAAATAAGATGTGACTAAAGAAATCTCAAGCATATATACAGGGTAAAGTTAGTATCAATCATTTGGTGGTTTGGACTTGAGACATGCTTTGATGGTGTCATCTATTTGTCAGAAATATCAGATTTCTTGTAGATAAGTAAATTTTTTTTTGCTCGACATGTGGATATAAGTTTAAAATATGAAGCCTACCTTCTTAGTAGAAGTTTTGCCAGTTGGTTGTTCCCTTTAGAAATGCAATGCTGCAAAGGAGTCCTGCCATGGAAGTCGCGCATATTTATATCAGCACCAAATTGCAGCAACAGCTCCACCATCGCAGGATTGCCATATTGGCATGCCAGATGCAAAATCGAACAACCTTGTAAACAATTCCTCGGTTCGTTTGAATCCTTGATTCTTGGGCAGGTTGATGGATCATACTGTTCCCTTTTGTCAACTTTGTTGATATCATGTGATGAATCTTGTGCATCAACAACATGGTGATACAACTCAATGGTAAAAACATCATCAAAGGAAGTCTTTACAATATTGGTGTCTGATATTGCAATTAGACGATATACTTCTCGCAACTTATCACTCTCAACTGCTTGCCAAATGTTTGCAGAGTTTGAAAGATCTCCATGTTGCATTGCATCTCTGACGATTAGCAATTTCTCTACATACTGGTTAAGAGAAGGAACAATGTTAGGTTTGTAATGGAAATCACAGTATTTCTTATCATAGTAGTGTGGGAGATGAAAGAGAAAGATTAATATGAACAAAAATAATTCACATTTATGAAAAATTGCAATCATCTAAAGGGAACAGGTATATGTGCAAGTTCACCTGCTTTTCAGAAGTGAACATGAATGTTAATTGGGGTATCAGGGACCAACAATCCAACTTGAGATGATCTTGAACACAAAGGAATATCATATCCTAACAACGGTTTATTCCTTTCTTGCATAAAAGGCCAAATAATCCACCGATCAATTTAAAAATGATTACAAGTAGAAGAAGACTATTATCACCACAACGACTTAAAAGGAGGCGATTATGCAGAAGTTCCTTGCTGACTGAAAAAACCAGTCAATTGCCCCTTAAATTAAATGGCTAGTGCAAGGAGACGAATTTTGATGCATGGACATCTTGAGAAATAGAAATCCAACAAAATACCTTAGCATAAACATATTTCTCTCTATGGGAAAGCGGATCTTTGGAGCATGGTTTTGTTATTGATGTGCCAAGAGCATTTGATTCATCCACTCTGCAAAGAATTACATTTTAACATGAAACGGAAAACTGTTTACTGTACCTATAACACAATTAAGCGAACAGCCGAACCATTATTGACCATCAGTTCAACCATATCGCTTTCATCTCCACAAATTCACTCTTTCAGAACTTAACAGATTATCATGCTAACATATCTAACAAAAACAGTGCATCTTTTAAAAAAGTTTGGAACACGTTTTAGGAAGAAAGGATGAAAGCAAAGAATATGACAAAATGAAAGGATGAGGATTTTACTTTTTCCAAAAACAAAATAGAACCAAGCAAAACAAAAGAGAAAAAGATATTAAACCCAAAATCAATATAAGTTTTTCCAATTCAAAGTTCATACTGAAATAGCTTTAGAAATTAACAGATTAGCCAGTGGTATCACTTTCATTTTCCTGTTAACCTAAGGAAATCTTACCTCTCATTCAGGAGTGAACCTTCCCATACAGAGTTGCAGTAAACATTACCCAGAGAACGAAATAATTCCACAATTGAAGGTTCCCACACTTTGACATCTAGTGTCAGAGATCTCACCTATAAAGAGAAAAAAGAGATTTATTTTATTGAAGAGTCTTAAAATGAATAATAGAAATTTCTTTCTGTCAACCTCCTCCTCCTTATTCGTTCCTTTTTTTTTTGAGGTTATTTGTTCTTTTGACTCCTAAAATTTTCTTATTTTGCTTTTTTTTTTTATAAAAAGGAAGGCCTCATTAAAAACCCCCTTCATAACCGTCAAGCAACAAAGACTCAACGGACATTGGAAGGAGGAAAAGAGTGCCTTAGAAATTATATTGCATAAGAACCAAGTACAATAAGAACACACTACCACCAAAAAATCTATGGCAGCCCACTCAACACCGTGCAAAACAGCACAATACATGCATGTGTTAATACCCTACACAAAAACTACCTCCTAGATTACTCAACCAGATACAAACATATACCATGCCCAAAGCTGCCAGCTAAAACCAATAATACAAAATCAACAACCCTTGTTAAAATAGAAAGGGAAGTTTAATTCAACTAAAAAATTCAGAGTTTGGAACTTAACAGCATGACTCATACAGTTCATATTTTCACAGCAACACTACAATGACATAAAAGTTATTTGGATGTATAATAGGTTTGAAATTGTACAACAGATTATCCCAAAAGCCTGCTGCAGCACCCAAAAGTGTAGAAAATAAAGGA